AGATGGTACTGGATTGGGTTTGGATTTCTGTCCTCCCTCTGTTCCCCTCAAGTGTGGCTGGTCAAATCTGAGATTAGTCCATGTGGGGAGGAAGACGAGAGTAGTATTCAGTCAGGACCTGGCTTAAGTCCCAATTTCACCATCACCATCTTCTACTGAAGTTCTGGGGTGCTCAGATTTGGATCACTTCTAAATAAATCATACAAAAATAAAATTAAGGGGAGAGAAAACAATGAGTCCTGAGTAAAAGTGTTGAGCCTTCCTAGTTGTAATGATTCCAGAGCTCTATGGATGGGGCGGGGGGGGTGAACCTAGGTCCGGGGGAGGCAAGACCCCAGACCCAACCCCTTCTGCTGGAGACCCTTGTCTATCACCCAGGGTCCCATGGGAGCCAAGCTCCCTCAGTGTAGGGGAAGCACCCTAGCCCACCCCACCCACCAGCAGAAAATGCACGGCTCCAGCCTTCCCACCCTGGGAGCCTAGGGAAGGAGGGTAACACAGGGCCTCAGAGGGGCTGAAGCCTGGGCAACTTTGGGAGACAAGGGACCAGGCTGAAGGGGAGGGTTGGGAGCACAGGATGGAAAGGCCAGCATGGAAATTTGGGAAGGCATTGCCTTCCTCTACCTTCGATACCTACCACCCATGGCATGGAGGGGGCTCTGCCTGTACTGCTTCTGAATTGTGGATGATTTTATGAGATTATGGTGCCAAGAATCACTTCTGTGGATCCCCGGAATTTATGAAATTACAGTGTCAAAAATAGCTTCTGTGGATCCCCAGGAATTAACATTGTTGTGTCACTTCTCCGCCAGGCCAGAAGGAGATGATGGTGAGCGATTCTCCAGCATTCAATGAGTGTCTAGTCAAAGTAAAGCACCTTGTGGCAATGGGTTTGTTCTAGGTGAGAGAAGATACCTCCTCTTCTTTTCTGGAGGATTTGGGAGCAATGAAAAGGTATCAAAAGGCAGAACAAAAGAAGCAGGTGACCACCTCACCAGCATGAGTCTATACATGGATTTACTGGGGAGAGAAGATAGGTGGGGATGGAGAGCCATTTTGCACTGGATTAAGATGAAGCAGGCTGCTGCAGGGCAAAGTTGCCAACCATCAGTGAATTTAAGGACAGTCCATAAAAAAGAACTAAAATTGGACCTATCTATATGTAGCTCATCAGAGCTCATGGAGGGGCTCTTTCCCATCTGGATCAGTGGGTGGCCACTCCGCCTCAGCTCACGCGTCCCTGTAGTCTAGGTCTCGGGCCTTTGTGTTCAGCCCACTTCAATGGTTAATAAGCCAGTTTAGGTAGTTAGAAGCCCAGGCCATGGTTCAGGGTGGGGCAGTATACAAACAGTCCCAAGATACACAGTGAATAGTCCAGGCGCTCAAGCAAGGCAGAGCAGCAGAAAAACAGTGAGGCCCTGGTTCAGGTGGGGTGGCAAAATAAACAGTCAATGGCCCAGCCCTGGTTCAGGGTGGTGCAGTAATACAAACAGTCACGGGATATAGTTTGTAGCCCAGGCCCTGGTTCAGGGCGGGGTGGCAAAACAAACAATGGCCCCGGTTCAGGGCAGAGCAGTAACACAGGAAAGCCCAGGCCCGGTGCAGGGCAGGGAAGCAATACAGTTAGTCCCTACAGTTAGCAGTTCACACTAATGATCGGATCTCCTTGTTCAGGTGGAGATCCGGCAAACACAGGCATTTGGCCTGAAGTGGTGGAGAGGGAGAGACTGCTAGCCCGGGATTGGGTGACAGGGGGACGCAGGCCCACCCACTCTACTGCATGCCAGCCCAGGGCCCTAACAGCAGCAGAGCAGTTTGGTGCTGTGTCAGCAGGGATCCTTCCTGCAACATGCTGACCCTGGCTCTGACCCAGCCAAACGATGGGCTAATCCCTGGGCTAGTTCCATTCTCCCCCTCTGGGCATACCTGGTTTTCCGGCAGGTCTGCTGAGGTGTTGGGGCTTGATAGCTTTGGCAGAGGTCCCAGTGGTCCAGGCCAGTCCTCAGGCTCCCAGCTGAGGAGCACAGGGCAGGCATCTGGTTCTCCTGGTGTCTGGGGCCTGACTGAGTTCCTGGGCTGGCTTTTTATAGACCTAGCCACATCTGCTGACTTCCGGTCAGATGAACACAAGGGCTCATGGAGGGCCCCCCCCCTTCCGGGTCAGTGGGCAACTACTCTTCCTCACTACACTAAAATCCATAAAAATATTTAGATATCAGTTAAAATCACTGAGCTTTGCCATGGAGCTGAGATATCCTCCCCCTGCCTTGGCCCTGATGTAAGCCCTACACCATGGTGCAGCTCCAGGAAATCTACAATTCCCAGGGCAGGGGCAGAGAGGGGAATTCACCTGACAGGGGTTCCTGCCGACATGCTGCTGGCTGATAGGGGCTGCTCTACTCTGCCTTTGAACTCTTCTTAAGCGTCACTAGTGTCAGCACAGCCGCAACTTTTGGTGGGTGTGCGTGCAGCACACACCCCTGCAGGGCCCTCCATGGTTAGAAGAAAGGAAACAAGATACAATGAGCTGGGTGTAGCAGCCTCCCACAGGATCCCTGCTATAAATCACAGCAGGGCAGTCGTAAGAACATAAGAATAGCCATACTGAATCAGACCATCTAGCCTAGTGTCCTGTCTGCCGATACTGGCCAGTACCAAGTGCCCCAGAGGGAGGCAATGCAATAGGTAATCCTCATGTAAGCCCTCTTTCATCCATTTACAGAAAGACAAGAGGCTAGGGACACCATTTCTACCCATCCTGGCTAATAACCATTGATGGACCTAACCTCTATGAATCTAACTAGCTCTTTTTTGAACCCTGTTAAAGTCCTGGCCTTCAGCACATCCTCTGGCAAGGAGTTCTACAGGCTGACTATGCACTGAGTGAAGAAAAACTTTCTTTTGTTTGTTTTAAAGCTGTTGCCTATTAATTCAATTTAAATGTAAGAAATAAACCATTCTCTCCTATGCTGGAAGGATTATATCCTGTCAAAAATGGGATCTGGAAAAATTATTAAAGCACTGGTTGACAGTGTGCCTGATGGAATGTATGATCACAAACTGGAGAACCTGAAGGATGCTGATGTGGCTACTACGTAAGTTAAGCTAGCATAATAACAGTGTTGTTGTGATGTATGAATAAAACCACGCAATATTGTTCACTTTTGTCCTCTTGAGCCATTTTTATGTAAGATTATGTAAGATTGCGTCCCTAAAAAAGTTTGGATTTCTTTTTTTTTTCTAGATTGTCCATAAAAATAATTTTCAGCAGTTGACAAGTTGGTTGCAGGGGCTGGGTAGGGTGGACCCTGCCTGCATGCCAAAGGAGAGATGATCCCAAGGGAGGGTGACATTGCATTTAGGATGTTGTATTGTTGTATGATCTATAGATTCTATACGGTTGGTGCTTTCTCTTGTAGAGCAGAGGCATTAGAATTGGCGCAAAAAACAGCCTATCAGCACATGCTAAGCATTCACAATGACCATATTGACCCTGAGAGAGTTCAAATGTGAACCAGAAGCATCACACCTTTCAGGGAGTGTTCTAGGAGAAAGGGAGGGTGGTTTATGTGGTGGGGAGTCTGAAGAGTCTGTGTTGGACTCAGAGAGGATAGGCAGATGCACAGCAGGTTCCAATGCTCACAGAAGGGTCTTCTGTCTGGGAGGGGGCCTATGGACCCCATTGAGGGTTCAGATGCATCATACATATAGGGGGATCCAGAGCAGAGAGGCTAGGATTCCCTTCAGAGCATCCTGGTCGGGGGCCAAGAAGAAGAACTTGCTAGGATGTGTGATAGCCATGTGTAATGATGGGCAGGGGTTCAAATGAACCGCCTTATGTAATTTTTGCCAGTACTTACGCAGGCAGATTTGTATGGAAGCATACAGGGATCTGAGTACGACTGATTGAGGCTCTGAAGATGGCATTGTAGGAGATGTCAGTAGCTTTCCTATGGTTTAATTGCGTAATATTCTGGCATGTCCAATATGTACAAGGTTATTACAGTGATGAAATACAGCATTCTGTTTGAAAAGTAGGAGCAGTATCTTATTAAAACTACTGCTCTTAATTACATTTCTGTTTAAAGGATAAAGGTCAAATTCTACAGTTACACTAATGGAAATCTGAATTACTCCAGATTTACATGTAACCCTTCTGCCAGGTAGATCCAGCAGCAGCCAGAGCTGGGATCAATATCTAGGAGTTTCTCTCCATCCATCCAACAGAACTGGCTCAATACCGCCACCCCCCCCACCCGCCGTAACCTAGGAATCCCCACTCGCAAGCACAGAGTCTGAGTGTAGAAAAAAAACTTTTAATAAAAAGTGAGGGAAATAACGTGGCATTAATTTGGGAAAGACCACAAACAAAGTTCATAAACAAAACCATGAGGAAAAGCTCCACCGAAAGCAGGTTGGGCAATGTCCTTTTCCCTCTTAGGTTCTTAAGTCCAGCAAGTAAATGGCCCCTTCACATGCCCAACCCTTCTCTGCACCCCACTCACAGTTGCTGCCCTTTGTCAGGACAGACCCAGAGCTCAGAGGTTCATCCACAGAGTTCACTTCCCAGCCTGAGCGGGGAGGTAAAGTATCTTAGGGTATGTCTACACTAGCCACCCTAGTTTGAACTAGGGTGGCTAATGTAGTCATTCGAACTTGCAAATGAAGCCCGGAATTAAAATATCCCAGGCTTTATTTGCATGTTCCTGGGCGCCGCCATTTCCCTGCCCACGGCTAATTCAAACTACCTAGCCCGTGCCGCGTGTAGCCTAGTTCGACCTAGGGTGGCTAGTATATACATACCCTCACTCACTCTGCTGGTCACTCACCTTATGCCTGTTCACGGCTTTCTGCCACTGCCCTGCTGGCCATTCGACTCACCTTTCTGCAGCTGGCCACTCATTACACTACTGCATTGCCACCCTGTTGACTGCTCTACCAGCTACTTGTCATGCCACCTCCACTTTGCTGGCCACTCGTCACAACTCTCTGCAACTGACCTGTTGGCTCTCAGTCACCATCTGCTGCCATCCAGTTCTTGGCTGTGGTTTCTGCCCATCCATCTCAAATGATTCCAGCTCCCAGTGATTTCAACTCTGAGTAAACAGGGTAGTAAAAACACAACTTTAACACAGTTAACGTAAGAAGAGAGACAGCTAATAATGCCTGTTTAGCTCTCTTCTTTTAATGAGGGGAGGGGGAGGTCAAGCTAGTCCAAGCAGGGGAAACCAGATAGATTTCAGACCAGAATTACCTTCCCTCACCCCTTACTTCTATGGAGCTCTGAAAAGTCAAGCCCTTGCATTTGCAAGATTCTTTCTGCTAACTGAGCCCTTTCACTTGGAACAATGTAGCACAGTTCTACTTTTCTGTATTTCCACAAAACTACAAACATTGGTAACCATATTTTAGCTATTCCTACATTCAGTGCAAATATACCTGGTATTAGGGCACAAATTAAGTTGATTACTATGAGCAAAATACCACTTCATCTGAGAAATATCTATCACATATAAGTAAAGCAGGAGCAAACTGTAATTACATAGACACACCCAAGATTTGTCTCCCATTCCAGATAGCTGTAGCGGAAGCATTACTTCAGATCCTACTTATATCCACAAGTGAAACAGCAGAATTTGATTCACCATTGTAAACTGCATTAAAGGTTGTGTTGCTTCATTCCTGATCAGGAATACTGTAATGGCATTATGCCAAAACCTGATTCTATGGGTGGGGACATAAACTGCCTGTAAGAAACAAGCTGATTGAATTCAGAGTCCATTTCCTGAACATTGTAACACTCAAAGAAACTGAAAGGAGACGGCCCTCTTAAGGCACAGACTTTATACATGTAAGTACAAATACTCTCAGGAAAGGCATAGTATTTTTCATTAAAATTTTCTCAAAAGGGAAGGCTAATGTCTTCCATATTTTGGTAGCATTCAGCAATACTCAATAAACCTCAAGCAATAAATGCTTTCCTGCATTTTACAATGCATTTCCTGCATTGTTTGAGGAGTGTTTCCTTTGCTTACTGATTTCATTTGAAGAGTTTAAAAGGTTTTACTGTATGTCTCAATGAGGGTCTAATTCACACCAGTACATTTAAAGTAACATCAATTACATTCACGTAAATGAGACTCAGGGCCAGAGTTTACAAAAACCAATTAAACATGTTCAGGATAATTTTTGATGATCAGTTAGTGTGACTTGTCCAAATGAGCATTGTTATCATTAGTGGTCTGTTTTAGAGAATTGATTTCTTACGGATTGCAGATCAAAATGCAATCAATCAGTAAAATGAACGAGATAAATTCCTTAAGCTGCATCTCATCTGAAATGAATTTATTCTGTTCTTATCACTGTGTATGTACAAATTAAATCACAGCAACTAGTATGGTTATTAAACAAATAAAAAACCTTGACTATTTAGATGCTAAACCATTAAAAGATTAACAACTGTAGTCTATTTTTAAATGAGTGAATGTTGTAAAATGTTTTAATGCCAAAGGGTATGCACCTCTGTTATTTCATTTACACTACAGAATAGGCTGTTGGACCGAGCAAAGGAATGTGTAAACATGGAATGTACCACTCTTTCTTATGGGGGGTATTCAGGGTGTTTCATAACGTATGGACATTCAAATATTACTTTGCTTTCTTACTAACGTATCGAGTTCTGACAACATTTTAATGTGTCTATTTTGAAATCTTTCCTAGTTTTCTGATTTGGTTGGAGGATTTCAGTGCTGAGCCTCTAAGAAAGAAAATAATTGTCAGTGAAACTGATCCATTTGTGAGTCCGTATGTCTGGATATGTGGCACACTGAACAGTTTTATAGTTCCCAGTGCGTAAATGCATTTTATTCTGCATTTATTCGCTGCAAATTTCACTTGAGTGCACCAAATACATACTGAATTGTTGGCCTGAGGGCTGGTAATTCATATAATAGAGTCAATTTAGCTTCAATTTGTTAGTCTGTCTTTCTAATACATAGGCAAGATTACAGCTCTTATCTAACAAAAACAGGCTCATTAAAATAATCCCCAGCAACATTGAACAGAGACTAGGTGCTTCACAGCTGTAATTTTATTATGTGAGGGCCAGATTTTGGAGCCCCTATTCACACCTGTGACCCCTTAAACACATGATCAGACCTTTTGTTTTCTGTGAGACTGAATAAGGTCACGTCAACACAGCACATCGACACAGCTACGTCAATTGCGTAGCTTAAGTTGAAATAGCTTATTTCAGCTTTTGGCCCTGTCTACACAGCAGGAAGTCGAAGAAAGAACACAGCATAGACATGCTCTTTGTTATTTCAGAATAATGTCAGTTATTCTGAAAAAATGCTGCTGTGTAGACATACTGTTAGTGCTGACCAGGGCTAGGTCCAAACTACATCCCTCTGTTAGCAGAGGGATGTAAATGAAGCACTTCAAAAGTGCAAATGAAGCGGGGATTTAAATATCCTGTGTTTCATTTGTAGAATCGCATCATGGTACTGTTTCGAACAAGCACCATTTCGAAACTGAAACCTCAGTTTAGACGGAGTACTTTCAGGAGTATAGGATCTTTCGAAAGGTGCCCCGTTGTCGAATAAAAGTGTCTAAACTGTGGTTTCAGTTTCAAAAAGCGTTTGTTTGAAACAGCACCATGATGCAATTATGCAAATGATGCATGGAATATTTAAATCCCTGCTTCATTTTCACTTTCAAAGTGCTTCAATTACATCCCTCTGCCGACAGAGGGGTGTAGTTTAGAAGTAGCCCAGGGTGAGTAAGAGCTCCACAGTATTGTCCTGACTATACTTATTTAACGGTTTTCTCTGAATACTATTGGGGTACTTGAAAGATTCAAGAGCCATTTCAGATGGATTGAGCTATTTGTCCTGTGTCTAGGTAACTTCCATGTGCAGGGACAAATTCTTAGACCCTGAGAAAAACTCAGTTACTTTCAACAGTTTCTGGTGTCACTGATCCATATGTGTGTCTTTAACTGAGATCAGAATCTAGCCCAAAATACTTTACCCACCTAGGTATGCTGAACGTATAGTCATTGGTGGAGTTGGTCCAGCTCTTACACAACTGACAGACTTGTTACCTCAAATATACTTACCTTACCCTATGCAAGATGCAAGGGCATCATTTCCAAAAATAAGTGCAAAATGTTGTGATGAATCTGACATAGGTGAATGAATGTAGCCATAGGGTAGTAGGAAGAAGATCTTTTGTCCAGAGTGGGTTGGTGAGGTAAAGGGTCTTGAGGTGAACTGGACTTGAAGGAGACTAGAGCATGAAGAGTTGGGCAGCTGTCTGAATTTTTGCATTTTGTTTTCTAAATTAGCTACCAGTCAAGCGGAAGTGCAGCAGAAACTATGTGGGAACCACCATTTCAGCATGGATAAACAGAACCCAGAGATGCCCATACAACAGATGTGAACATTAAGTATCCTGAAGGTCATTTGCGCAATTATTACTGGTGGAGGAATGGACCAAGAGCTGTCAGCCAGGGTTTTAGGCCTTTGGACTTTCTCCGAAGGTTTAAAACTATCCCAAAGACTACATTATGATTGTTAATTTAAACTGTTTAAGCTAATTATCCTAAGGAATTTGGGATCTAATTAACCATCCTTTCATTTGAGCGGTTTGCCTGAATGCTTATTGTGGGGGACCAAAAAATGGCTGAATGGGCCTTGCAGTTTAAGTACCATAAATGTTTGTTCACTATTTCTGAAAGAGTGCCTGTCCCACAACACCTGTGAAACCCCATCATTACTGTCCAATCAGAATGGTAGCTTTTTACAGTTACTGGGGTCTAGTGAACATGGCTCTCCAAGCTATCAGACATGGAGAGTCAAGACTTTTGTCTGTTTTCTCCATGGCTTGCTAGGGACTGTCAGTGAATACAGTTTATGGTGATGGTCTTTACTAGTCCATTGGGGACTAAAGTGAGACCAACAAGCCTATTTCACCTCAACCATTCAACAGCAATAACACATCCAAATATATATTGAAATTTCAAGACAGGCCTCAGTTGTGGGGAGCTGGCAGCTTTGGGGATACCAAGTGAAGTTAATAATATTTTTTGAAAGAAGCCCCATTGTCTGTGGCAATTGCTGGTTTACCCAGGGAACAACAATTTAGCATTCCAAGAAAAATCTGGATATATTTAAAAACTGGCTTCTATTCCTGTTGATGAACTAGAGGTAGGCACTGAATGAGGCCAGAAAGGGTGACGTGGCAAACCCCAAGAGAAAACCACAAACAGAGCAATAGGGAGAGCGTCTGCCTTCTCTCTGGTGAAGTACTGGGGCTGTGAAGGTACTATAAAGGGCCAGGGACAATTCACCACTGCAAATTCACAGCATGGTGCCACTGCAAGCACAGAAACAGATCCATGGTCTTTAAGATAAGGGAGTGGAGAGAAATCTGGCCCATAAATTCCAGCAGGGCAGGGTTGGGGTTCCTATTCTTTAGAGTGCAAACCACTCGAAAGCTCTCCACAGGGTGCCAGATCAACAGCACTGGGGAACAGGGTGGAGCAATCTCCCCTTAGACGTGCTCTGCTGGACACTTCCCTTCCAAAATACCCTCAGATCACAGCGGCACAAGTTGCTATAGACCACTTATGCAGAAACAACATAGGTTTCTCTGTGCTGTGGGATCTTCCTGTGGAAGTTCCAGGCTTGCTCCCGGCCACCCAGCTCCTGGAGACAAGTAGTACATCACTCCTCTCTGATGTGTGCTCCAGCAGCTTTGAGAACAAAATGGCTGATGAACTGCCAAAAATACAGTCTGGGGAAATGTAATAGCACAGCACCCTGAAAAGAAGAGAATCCCAGTTTCACAGCACATTCACTAGCTGAACCTCTAACTTCATCCAACAAAGATTTACTTAATACAAATTCTGCTAACACCCTGCAGATCGGCGGGCCCAACACATAGAAACACCCAGCTTAAAACTCTGCATTTTGCTTTTCCCTTTTATGCTGAGTGAAGGTAACAGAGTCTACTCTGTTGAAGCCCATGGGCTGCTATAGTGGTTGCATGGCAACCAAGTCCAGGAAATACGGCACTGAAGCTCTTCAGCTGGCTGCTCTCATTCTAGAGCTCATAAGACAAGGTGGGTAACTGATTTGACTTTGTTTAACTGTTCTGTTTGGGGGGAATTCAGCTCAGGGAATTAGAGAAAGGTTTAAACAACATGTAGGCAAATGACTCCACACCCGGATAATGGAGCAAAGAATTGCGGGCCAACTGGAAAAAGGGTCAAGCATCTATTCGGTTCCATTTGATCACAGACATAAACCTATTCATCCTGTGTATTTTGCCATAATATTCCCCACCACACAAAGGAGCAGAAGAGGAGCAAGAAAGCAATATATATTAGTTAAAACATAGAACTAAGGTCTCAATTCCTACATTTTCCACTGACTCTCTGTGTGACTTTGCCAGGTCCTCTTTTTATGTGTCTCCATTTTTTCAGTTGTAAAATGGGGTTAAAACTACTTGCTCTGTTAGTAGCTCATATGATTTTTGTGAGACTTAATTAACCAATGTTTGAATAAAAGATGCTACATAAATAAAATGTTGTTTATTAGATTGTTGTACTTTTCACTAATCTATCTGTAAAAATACTGCTACTCAGAGGCATCTATAAAAATACCAAATGGTAGAAAGCAAGAAATAACAACTCCTAGATTCTCTGGGAATTTATACCTTGCTTCCTTACAATCTCCACATTCAAATACTATTATTTAGATACTTACCCTGCCTTGCAAGTATCCTGTGTAGATTTTAATTGAATCCTAAACCACTACTGTGATAAAATGGTGACATTTTGTCAATGGAGACTATGCATGATTTGTAACTGTTACTCAAACCTGAACCAGGCTGATTATTGTAGAATAGTGTCATGCACTTCGTAAGGGAAGCTCCTGGCATAGTACTGTTTCTAATAAAAAACCACAGGCCAAAGGTCTCCGAACAAAGTCCAGCAATAAGGTAGTTATACTGATTATACAAGCAAGCACATTGTCAGTGTTCATACAAGATACCGCACTGGTATGGCATTCTGAAGCAGTCACATGTTGAGGAACTTTTAACTGTAGTCTTTGTGTGTTTGATTTATTACTAGGCTGAAGAAAGTAAAAAAAAGGGGAGGAAAAAATCTACCCCATTTTTTCGTGTATTCCACAGAAAACCAAATATGGCATCTTCTATGAGGAGCTTGCTCTCCGACCACAGCCGATATGTGGAATCTTTTCGTCTGTTCCTTGAGAACTCGACGGAGCACCAATGTATGCTGGAATTCATTGACAGGAAGCTGCCGGGCATAATATCGAGGTAACAGAGTTAGATGTTTTATCAGAAGGACAAACCCTTGATACAATTCTGCACAAGTGATGAATGCATGCTTTGGACTGGGCTTGCAAGGGCTACCTGAGAGTTATAGAATGCCCCCTTTTTTCCCTCCTCCCCCTCTGTAGATCTTTGATAGTGTTTCAGTTAAAGATTTCATTGAGACACTCCAGTAAAAGGTCTCTCTTTGGGTGCATCTACATAGCACCCTTACCTCAAAATAAGCTAAGCAATTTGCACTGTGCAAATTGCATCATTGCTTATTTCGAAGTGATTTCTAAATAAAGTGTTATTCCAAAATGACCCCTCGTGGAACGAAGGTCGTAGGGATGCCAGAATAGCGCTGTTTCAAAATAACACTCTGCTTTAAAGATGCAGAATAGCTATTTCGGGATACTTCCGGTATCCCAAAATAGTTCCATAATGTAGACATAGACTTTGTGATGGCATCTGACTAGCATGGAAATAGATTTAATTATTTTATTGTATGCAAATATACCTTAGATTTAATAAACCCTAAAGTATAAAAAGGAGATTAACAAACTGCATAGGATTTTAATTATTTTATTTAAAGTTTTATACTTTAAAAAAGCAACATTTTCACTGTAATTTAACATTCTTTCTGGCTTTCATACAATCCATCTACTCGTCAAATAACCCTACAGACCACATTCCTTTTGTGGGGAGGAGTAATTGCCTCACTATTTGGACAGATCAGTGTGTTTTCCTGGAGTAGGGGTCTGGACATGAGAAGACCTAAGGTGAAATCCTGAATACATGGAAATCAATAGGAGCAGGATTTTTAGCCCTCGTTTATGTTTCCATCTTGGCCTTGTAATTGGATTTCAAACAAGTTAATCTCTCTGGGTTCTTCAGTTTCCCCATCTGTAAAATATAAATATTTTTACAAAGTACTTTAAACACTAAAAGTGCTTTTATATTATACATGCAAAAGGCAGCTGGTTGAAATTTTTCCAGCAGAAGTTTTCAGTTCTCTTGACTCAGCATTTTCCAGTGGAAATGTTCCACAGAAATGTGTTGATTCCATCAACTTTCCTGCCAATCTGCTCAATTCCCTGGCTTCCTGGCTGCCTGCCTGGCACAGAGGGGTACCCGCACTTGCCAGCAGGCTGGCTTCCCAGCTGTTCAAGCAGGCCAAGGAGCTGGAAACCCCAACAACCCATGCAGTGGGCAGCTGGCAAGTCCAGGAAGTGAGAATGTTTTGTTGTTTCTGGAACAATTCTTTTGGAATTTCAGTTCCAGGAAAAAAAACTAGTTTTCATCCTGATTTTGGAAATCTCATTTTCAAAACCTCAAAATTCTTCACGGGGTAGAAGTTCCATTTCCTGGCCAGGCTCTGATTCTCAAAGTTCATTCTCCTGCAGACAGAAGGAATGGCAGGGATCATGCTTCAGGACCATTTTGGTTGTCAGCCCTCTGGCCCATAACCCAAGAGACAAGAGTGCTGTTATGACGGTTCTCAGGGTACACAGGGCTGTGACTCACGTTCTTACCCGCTTTCCCCCCACCTCCCTCTCAGTGACAGCTTCCTAACATTACCATCCTTCTAGCCACTCAAGTGCTCTTATCTGGGCTATGCCTGCCCTTACATGTTTCCTTGCAGGGTAACAATATGTGCGCACTTAGACCCAGAGCCCTTTTAAAGCTCCCCCTGTTATATCCAGGCCTACTCACTGGCTACTCACAAAAATACCAGGTCTGCTGTCCCCCATGAATCACATACACACCAGGCTGTAAGATTCAGCTCTTGTCCTGAACTTGTAATACCATGTCAGTTAGGTATATTTTTAGTGTAAACAAGAACAAGTTTATTCTCAAAGATTCAAGTGATAAGGAGTAAAATATTAGAAACAAAACATTATATGTAAAACAATCATAATAGGTTTTCTAGAAACTAATAGGTTAAACTCCTGTTAAAGAAGTTTTCCTTCAGGGTCTTTTGCCGCTTTACAAGCAAGGTTAGCTGAAATCCTTTTTTCATGAATGTGAATACACTGCCTATTCACTTCCAGGATGAGAGACTTCTTTGCCTGTTTATACTGCCAAATTCAGTATCTGGCTTCCAGTGCTTGTTATTCTGTGTGCTGCTTCCCTGTTTGCTTCACATCTCTTGGTGGGCATCCTACCAGACTTGATTTCCATACTGGCAGAGAGAGAAAGAGAGAGGTGAATAAACATTTCTTATTGGACAGAAGGCCTGTTTTTTCACCTCAACTGATACTCTCATACTTTCCTAGGGTATGTCTACACTACAGTGCTATTTCGAATAAACTTAATTCGAAATAGTTCATTTGAATTAAGCTAATTCGAATTAATGCATGTACACACAAAAACTATTTTGAAATAGCATTTTGTTATTTCGAAATGGTGCGTCCACACTGAGTGGACCCTGAACCGAAGTTAAGGCTGGCCGGAACCAGTGCCAGCAGGGCATCATATTAGGACTTAGTGTGTGGGGCTGCTGCCTGAGGCTAACTGAGCTTCATGCTTAAAGGGACCCTACCCCCACTATGGACAGACAGTTCTCAGGGTTCCCTGCTTCCTTGTCTACCTTGATGAGGGACAGCAAAGCAGTCCTGTCTTGGAGTGCCCTGAGTGCCCGCACTTGGGACACTACAGTTCTCGGCCACATGGAGCCAGAGCTGCCTTTGGGCATGCCGATGCATATCGGTGCACTTGCTGCAGGCTGCCATCCCGGGGGGTCCATTGGGGGGCTGTCAGGATCCAGGAGGCCCTGCGGGAGAGAATCCACCCCAAGAGCCCTCAGAGACACCCTGGTCCTCCCCACCGGGGGCTTGTGCCCCATTCCACCCTCACGTCCTTCCACTTACCCCTCCCTAACTCTCCTTCCTGATGTCAAACAAAAGACACGTATGTTCAAAAATAGAAACTGGGTTTATTGAACAAAACTGGGGGGAGGGAATGAACCTTTGGGGAGACTGGGGAAAGAAGGTGGGAGAAGGGAAGAGAGAGGGTGGGAGAGGGGAGGGGGAAACCTGGGAAGAGGGAGCTGGAAGGGGGAAGCAAGGGGAAGAAAGGGAAAGGGAAGCTCAGGGCCCAGGGTTGGGGGTCTCGCCGGACCAACTTGATTTTCATGCAAACCTACTCCTGGGTTTGCATGTGGCCTTTGGTGACCAGGCTGGCAGCAATCCTGCCATAGACGGTCTGTCTAGTGCAGAGATCATGGACGTTGGGGGCATCTCCCCCAAACCTGAATAAGGTCCATGATCTCCACCCTGGTCCTGGAAGGCGCCCACCTTCTCTGGCCCCTGGCAAGCTCCTGGGAGCTTGCAGACTGCTCCTGGGGAGTGGTGGAGGGTTGGTTGCCAGTGGCTTGCGGGCTCATGTTTTGGGGCTACTGGGTCAGGGGCCCCGGTGTTTGGCAGGCTTGGAGCTGGCACAGGCACTATGGCCAGAGTCTACCCCTTTTATGGCTCTGGGGCTGGGGGAGAGGAGTTTTCCTGGTTGTGTCCAGAGTGCCACCAGGGCTCCCTGGGAAGGGCTGGAGGCCCCCTATTTCGAATTAAGTGTCTACACAGCACTTAATTTGAAAAAGCTATTTCGAATTTGGCGTTACTGCTCGTAGAATGAGGTTTAACTTTGCAGTGTAGACATATCCATAGAGAGTCTAAGACTCTATCTTCAGTGTGTATCTTTATACACAACTCCTTGCATAGTATTTGTTTGTACATTTAGCAATGATGACAATGACCAAAGTGAGCCACCTTACATTTCAGACCTCACAGACATTCCCCATTGAACCAGAATGTACATTTCAGGATCAATATTCTGCCTTGACTCCCTCACTAGGTGTCATTAAAGGGTTCTTAGGTCACACCTCCCCTCTTACAATGCAGTAGGATCAGCCACATAGCTCTAAAAAGAGGTAAAACCCTGGTCCTCTTGATGTAATTGATTCCTCACTGATTTTAACACAGAAAGAATGTCACCCCTGTATATTAATAACCTCCTTCTAGCTAATGTAAAAGGTGTACTGCTTTATTATTTTACATCTCTCTGCAGCATTTATCACTGCGGATCATTCTCTGCTCTGCCGCCTTCTCTCTTGGTGGCTCTGAATCTGCTGGTTTCTTGTGCCTCAGTTTCCCATCTGTAAAACTGTGCCATCAGTTTCCCAGTAGACCATCTGTAAAACTGACCGCCTTCGTAAAGGGCTTTGAAAGCTAGAGATAAAAAATACCATACAAGATTTAGGTATTAGTATTTTTATTCAGTGGATTTACACAAGTATAAATGGAAGCAGAACATAGGCCTGTGTGTATATGTGCTTTGTTTACATACAATAAAACAAAGCTCATGCTCTGAATAACTCGTACACCAGAGCTGTGATCTGATGGAATCAAGTGCAATTCAACATATACATAAACAGATATTCTGATATCCATATTATGTGTCTGTTGAGAAAGTTTTGCATACATTTGAGGACATACTCCCCTTTAAGCACAGGTTGGACCGCCGTGGTCCAGCACCCTTGGGACCAGCCAGTCCTAAACAAGGAAATTTGCTGGACCAGCGGAGGTTCCCTGTCACCAGCCTCCCAGGCACCTGCTGACTCTGCTTCTGGCCCGAGCCAGCCCCCACTGCCTTCAGCAGGCTGTGCTGCCAGTCCGGGCTGGACCTCTCAGCCCTGGTACTCCAAGCTCTGCCACCTGGGCCCACTGCCACAAGACTTCTAACCGTGCCTCTGGAGCTCCTCGTGCTGGCCAATTCCCCTGCTATGGGGCTCTCCCCATACTGTGGGACTCCCCACGCTGCCTGAGCCCCCTGCCATGCTCCTGGCTGCACTGCTGGTGGCTCGTACAGAGCTGCTCCCTGTAGCAATGTGGTACCAGCAGAACCCTAAGTTCTCCCTAAGTAGCACATTCCTACAGGGAGCAGCTCTGTACAAACCACTGGAGGTCTTCGCACCATGGGACTCCCTGCACCACCTGAGCCCCTCCCGTGGGACTCCTGGCTGCACCACCAGAGCTCCTTTCACTGGTAGACCCTCTGCCGTGGAGCGCCGTATGCCACCAGAGTCCCCTGCTGCAGGGCTCCCCGCCACAACACGTGATTCCCCGCACCACCTGAGCCCTCTGGTGCTGAGTTCCCAGTGTTGCCTGAGCCCCATTGATGGATGGATGAATGACTGATTAAACAGAGGGCATAGATCCTTAGCCTGACTCTATGCCTGCCATGTACATTTCTGGCTCTATATTAGTATAAAGACACACATTATCTGTGTACAGTTTCATTGTGGGGTGTGAGAGTGACTTGCTAAGGGTGTTGAATCTGTTCACTATTGAATATGTAGCCTAAAATATGCAAACCTATTTTTGTTTTCAGCATCGGAAAAGGAAAATCTGCGATCAATATTCTAAGTGTAGGTGGAGGTTCAGGTACTGTAAAACCTTGCTGCTTTCAATATATTTATTTTTCCTGTGGGTGGCAAATGACCAATAAGAATCAGCACTGTGGGTGGGAGGACCATTCCTTGAAAAATAGGTTCAGATCCAAACTTGGCTCACTAGTAGATACAAGCCTGATGATCTTGGCCACTGTCCACAAAGCAAAAGTATTTTGCAGCTGCCAGTCTGTACTCAGAATAAATCCACAGGAATAGCAGAGCATATAAACGGGCTTATCAAAGTTATCTTCATAAAGCAATCTATAGCAACTGGCTGATTACTCAGCTCAAAGAGTGTTACTACTTAGGGTACATCTAAACTACAACCCTCTGTTGGCAGAGGGATATAAATTAGACATATCAAAAGTGCAAATGAAGCTGGGATTTAAGTATCCTGCATTTCATTTGCATAATGGCGGCTGCCGCTTTTTTTTGAAAAGGGGCTTTTAGGGAAAAACCCGGCAGTTTAGACGGGGCATTTTTGTCAGAAATACCCCATTTTGAAAGATCCTGTACTTCTCATTGAGGATCCTGTACTCCTTGGACTACAAGTCTCTTTCGAAAAAGTCTTTTACGAAAGACACTTTCAAAAAAGCCTCTTTTGAAAAAGAGCGTCTAGACTACAAGCAGATTTTTCGAAAAAGGGAGCCGCTTTTTTGAAAAAGAGTCTAGACACTGTCTTTCAAAAAAGGCATAGTTTGCCTTCAATAGCACCTTTTTTCGAAAGAACATGGCTGCAGTCTGGATGCAAGTGAAGTTTTTTCGAAAAAAGGCTAATTTAAAAAAAACCCTGTAATCTAGACACAACCCTTTTTGAGGAGTACAGGATCTTTCGAAATGGGGCATTTCTGTCAAAAATGCCCCGTCTAAACTGCCAGTTTTTTTCTAAAAGCCCCGTTTAAAAAAAAAGTGGCAGCCACCATTATGCAAATGAAGCACGAGATATTTAAATCCCAGCTTCATTTGCGCTTTCGATGTGTCTAATTTACATCCCTTTGCTGCCAGAGGGGTGTAGTTTAGACACGGCCTTTGAGACCTGTTCCTGCTCACCTTTACTCACTTGAATAATGGCTTGTCAGTATGCAGGGAAATCCTCTGCAGCCTAAATTGTCCCTTTACACACCGCCACCCCCATTCCCATTCCACCCGTGGATCTTCACAGAGCCTTGCAGAGATTCTGTGAGACTGAGGAGTGAAGGGAGACTATGTTCCAGTTGAATTAGCCCCTGCACTCCCCAAATTCTAAGCGCCTGGCCTCACCACTCAGTGTAAAGCAGAACTCTTGTTGATTGGCTGAGTAAGGAGTGAATACAAAGCAAGCAAGGATTTGAGATTGAGCTCTATGCCTGCCATATACATCTATGGTTCTGGCAGGTACTAATTAGTATTTTTAGATAAGAAGAGAAAGGGAAAAGGAAAGAAACCAACTCTGTAAATTCTCTTACTCTTCCGTATCTCGTCCACCTTCATAAACATAATGGGGGACAGTGTTTGATCCTAGCATGTGTACCCATACCTAGTATATGTGTCTAAGCATTGTACCAGAAACTGCCTCCTGCCCCCTTGGGTGTCTCTCAAAAGAAATCTCTCCCTGAGCTCCTTCTGTGGCTCTATTCTCTACTCAGGACTATGCCTAGTTGGCTGAAGTTAGCCCAGAGTGTTGACACCCCAAAACCATTTCACATTGCTGTCCTAGCTACCCTAATTTTTTAATCTTGCCAAGCTCATAAAATCCCATGAACCTGCGCATAAATTTGTCTCTCCTGTAATGCATTCAGTTTTACTGTACTTCTGTGCACTACCTACACATGACTCATACTTTCCAGATCTTTAAGTGACAGGGACTGAGCGGATCACAAGTAAAAATAAACAGACCTATTCCTTCCTGATACATAAACACCCCTGCATATGAATCCTTTGTTTCCATGTCACATTACATTACAAGTTCATATGAATGGGCACTGACTATGCTCACCAAAATGATTGGTTCTGAAGAATCCCTTTGCTTTAAAAGTTATAACCACATCCACATGCATCTTTGAATCCCCATTTGCTGATGGGATATTGTGGCAGGGCCAGACACCCTGAGCTGGGTCACACAAGGTTTTTTCCCCATCATTCCACACTATTGTTGCAACCAATACTGATCCACTAGTGGTAGTGATACTAAGGGTTTGACAAGGTATTGAGAGCCACCATCTTTTCAGCCACTGTGGTTTCTTGCTGTACTGGGTGGTATTGAAAACATGAAGGTACATATGTAGATAAATAGTGCTAATGGAATAGGGAATAACCTTCCTATATGACATAATACCTCCTAAATACTGCTTACGTAAGTCTCCTCCCTTAATATTCACGCCCCATAGTTGTAGTCTTCCCATTAAACTCTATTATATCAATATCTTTATAGAAAGCCTTAATGTAATTTAAATGCTTTAGTCATGTCATCTCTGAAGACTAATCTCATTTTTGTCAATCTTTCCTTATAAGTAAGACTAGCCATGTGAAAACACCAAGGGTATGTCTACACTACAAAGTTAATTCGAACTAACAGACATTAGTTCGAATTAACTTTGATAGGCGCTACACATACAAACCGCTAGTTCGAACTTAATTTGAACTAGTGGAGCGCTTAATTCGAACTAGGTAAACCTCATTCCATGAGGACTAACGCCTAGTTCGAATTAAGCAGTTCGAATTAAGGGCTGTGTAGCCACTTAATTCGAACTAGTGGGAGGCTAGCCCTCCCCAGCTTTCCCTGGTGACCACTCTGGGCACCACCAGAGAAACTCGTCTGCCCCCCTCCCGGCCCCGGAGCCCTTAAAGGGGCACAGGCTGGCTACGGTGCCTGTGCCAGGTGCAAGCCTGCCAGCACCCAGCCCGCAGACCCTGCACCCGGCACGGCTCCA